GCGGGTTTGTGAGGAGGCTGTTGAGGAGGCCAAGAGGACCTCTGAACACAACATCCAACAGCTGAGGAAGGAGATCAAGCTGACAGACAATGTGATCAGCAATCTGAGAGCAAAAGCAAAGGGATGACTCAGACTGGAGCGATAACCAGAAGACAGGTCACGGTTAAACCCGACAAAGACATATCCAGGTGTTAAAAAGTGTTCTTAAAACTCATTGAATGCCAGCCTATTTCAGAACAGGTACTCCCACAGTGCCAGCCATTTCTGATGATTTTTACTGATTTTTCAAGACCCACAGAATATTGCGTACTATGACTATCTGAAATCCGACACCAGATTCTAAAAGAATGGACTGTGTACTTTCCTCAGCAAAAAGAATTTTGTTTATAGCTTTTTTCGTTCCCCTGTAATCCTCCGTCGAGTAGAGGGAAGTTTTACTGAAATCACCAGAAATCACCAGAAAGTTGAGAAAAAAGAGGCACAACATGTGCACCTACATGTTTTCAAACCATTCAGAGAGCAATGCTGCCACCTGCTGGCTCGATAAAATATGGTCTCAAGTCATCCCCATACATATTAGATACAATAGACATCTGGGAACGTGAAAATAGCGAAAAAGGCAATTGACGGATTAATGCGTCAATGGCACACTACGTTACTATTTGCTTTGACGTATTTGTGCGTCAATGGGACACAATGAGTTAACGAGAACTGTTCCCCCTCATTCCCAACTACCAATCCCTAAAATCTGACCTTTTTTCACAATGACAACAGATGGACCCCTACTGGGAGTTCCATTCTCACAATGTAGCACATGAACTGTTCAGTGACTGTGTGAAATTGTGTATATACAAAAAAAAACTAAAACTAAAACACTACCACTTCCCAAAACTGATACTCAAAATCAAATATCACTGGAAAAACGGCACTATTTGGCACTTAACCCTTAATATTTCACAAAACCAGTAGATATGGAGCATTGGCTTGTCATGATGCGAAGGCTAACAGCTAGTACACTGGTCCCATGGTGTGGGGCCTGGGTACTGCTGTGATGGAGACTGCTGGGAACACCAGGTGCTACTGTGGGGCGACCGTGAGCTGTCGTTGTGTCCTTAGGCAAGACACTTCACCCGCTTTGCCTTGTGTGAATGTTGTGTGTGTGTGAATGGCATGTGGTGGTAGAAGGGGCCAGTGATAGGCAGCCTCACTTGCAACAGTTTACCCCAGGGCAGCTGTGGCTAGTAGCTCATCACCACTGTGTATGGACTGAATGGTTAATGAGACGTGTTGCATGAAATAGGAAGCTGTAGTTCAGGTTGAATGCAACAGTTTGAGCGCACCACTAGCACTTTGGTATCATGACAGGCACTTTATGAATCACCTTAATCACTGAGACTGAAACACGATAGGATCTGGCTCCATGAGGGTCAGCTTATCAAATCTAGCCAAATCTGAATGAATGAATGAATGAATACTTAATTTTGAGCCAAGTCAGACAAGAACAAAGAACAGCGACAAAACAACAGAAAAAACCCCAAAAACAATAAAAACAAATAAACAATAAACACATACACAATATGTTTTGTTTAATTAACAAAAAGTCAGCTCGAAAAGGAGTGGGAAGAAGTTAAGACTTTTAAACTCCCACTCCCTATTTATTATTCTAATATAAGTTAATTTAACTAATATTATGTGGTTTCTATAGCTTTTTTAAATCAATGAAAATTCCAGCTGCATGTTCCTTTCTATCTACACTGTTGGTTATTTCTTCCACTGCTTCGATTATGGCCATGGATGTTGATCTTGCTGCCCTAAAACCATATTGTCTTTCATCAATTAAATTATTTTTTTGTCTACACATCTCTCTAATCTACTGTTAAACATTTTCTCGAGGATTTTTGAAAATTGTGGAAGCAAGGCGATCGGTCTATAGTTAGTGAAAAAGTGTTCGTTCCCATTTTTATATATTGGTATAATTTTAGCCAGTTTCATTTAATTAGGAAGTTGCCCTGTTTGAAGAGATAGGTCACATTTATAAGTTAACGGTTAAATGATTCCATGTATAATTTGTTTAACCATGTCGATATCAAAGCAATCCGTAGATGATTTATTTTTACAGTTGTTGACCACATCTTTTATTTCCGCTTCAGTTACTCCAGATAGAAACATTTCATTGTTACTAAACTCAGGAATATTTGCTGCCAGGTCTGGTCCAACATTTACAAAAAAGCTTTTAAAAATGTCCACAATTTCATTCATATTATAATTATTGATGTTCTTATCAATGAAATATTCTGGGTATGAATTATGTTTTGTATTACCTTTGATTATAGTAATGAGTTCTCCCCAAATCCCTTTAGTGTTGTTTTTGTTTTTATATTATAGATGAGTATAGTATCATTTCTTACTAGCTCTTAATATATTAGTCAGTTTGTTTTTTTCTATGTTTTATATCGATGCTCAGATTCTTTGGTTCTTAATCGAATGAACTGTCTTTTTTTTCTTACAAGCATAATCCATTGGTTAATCATGGACATTTAATAGTTTTATTGTTAGTACTACATTTCCGACAGTGTTTATTATATATTAATCCAAACATTTCCAAAAAATATTCAAAAGCACTGTCCATGTCATTTGTGTCGTATACAGCAGTCCAGTCCTGTTTTATTAAATCCTGATAGAGTAAGTTGACTGAGTCTTTGGTTCTTTCTCGTTTGTAAATATACTTTGGAGGTGGTTTTTGATTAATACAATTCTCGCTATCAAACACAGTGAAAGCAGGTGATCGGTTTTATCACAAACCAATAGTCCGCTGACATTTGTAAACTCCATATTATTTGTAAAAATGTTATCAATGAGAGTAGCACTATGCGATGTAATTTGGGTAGGTCTTGTAATAGTTGGGTATAAACTCATACTGTACATTCTGTTAATCTCCACAGATAGATATTGATTTATTACTTACTGTTGAAAATGTTTTTTCAGACCAATCTGTGAATAGTTCCAGACTTGAGCCTGGTGACTTGTATAGACACCTGACAATAATGTTTTCTATTGTTAAACACTCAAGTAGGTCATCTATTGATGTTGATTACTCTGAATATGTATTTCACTTGTATCTGCTCAGTCCAATCATTTTTGCGCTTCTTAAACTCTTCTAACAGTTGTCTTTGAGAACAGACCTGTGTGATCTGTGAGCAGCAGCTGTCAGCTGGACCAGGTTCATTATTATGTGCTTAAAACACAGACTTTTCATTCAAATGGACTTAAGCCAGCCTGAGATTACGTGGGATGTTTGTGAGTGAAGCCTGGTCTCACTTGGATGTGACTGGTTCAATCCAGAAAGACAAAAACAAAAACATTAGAACGATGTTTACGGAGTTACGTTAGCGTGGAGTTCAGGTGAAACTTGGAAACTATCTGTCTATCTAAGCCCGTCTGTCTGTCTCTCTCTCTGAGTGAAGGATCAAGCGTGAGGTTGACAGACGGTTGCTGTACTGGATTGCGTGGTGAAAAGGGAGCAGCGTCTGCAATCAGAGCTCTACATTCAGTCTCCTCCCTAATCTCTGTTCCTGAGCTTTGGGTTATGACTGAAAAGACGAGATCAAGCGAACAGGCTCCACATGAGTTTCCTCCGCAGAGTGGCTCTAGGGCAGGGGTCTCCAACCTGTGGCTCTGGAACCACCAGTAGCTCACCACCCCCTTCCAGGTAGCTCGCCAAAGGATTTAGAAATGAAAAAAAGATTCAAATAATCTACCTAATATTTCAGAGTTTGTTATTCATTCTCATTTTTTTTATTGTAAATGTACTTACTTTGTCACTAGTAACAAATATGTTATGATAAATAATCACTGTTCCCAATATTAGGCTTGTTCACATCCATATTGCCACATTTTTTTTCCAGGACCGCTTGAAGTATTAGCTATCTGCCTTTATCGACCCAGGAAAGTAGCTCTCTGGGTGAAAAAGTTGGAGACACCTGCTCTAGGGTCTCTTGCTAGTCTCACTCTGGTTTCTCTCGATTCTCTCTCTGGTCTCTGACTCTAGTCTCTCACTAGTATCTCTCTGATTCCTCTCTCTAGTCTCTCTCTGGTTTCTCTCTTTAGTCTCTCTCTGGACTCCCTTAGAGATAGAGTTAGGAGCTCAGTTGCACGAGAGGAGCTTGGAGTAGAGCTCCAGCTTCTTCAGCCAGTAAAGGTTTCTCAGGCTTCTGTTTGGGATGCCTCCTGGACGTCTCTCTGGTGAATTGTCTCTCTGTTCCATCCTTTATGACATCAAAACCCTAAACAACAGACTCAACCTGGCCGTGTGTACCTCCTCGTACCTTAACGGTTGCATAATATTGTTGCATAAATCACGTTTAATTTACATTTTTAATTAGTGCCAGTGAAACGCAGTGACCTTCTGAGCTGCAGCTACAATCACACACAGATTATTCTTGTAATCTTCCCTGGACTCAGCATCTGTCTGCGCTCTCACATCTGGGCACAAGATTACGCCTCACTTTACATTCTCTCACCGTTCTGACTCCGTGACATCAACCCTTACATAAAACCTGTCATCAAGGTCGTGACTCTGTGACTCCGGTCTGTGAGAGGCACTATATAAACAAAGATTATTTACACATTAAGTCTGTTTATTTAAAAAGGTAATCCATCCAAGTCTCACAAACCTCATCAAAGTCTCACAGCAAATGCAAAGATGAGGTTAAGGTTCAAAAATACTGAAGGGAATCCAGGTTCAGCAGCATATTTGGGTACAATGTTCTCCAGTCCAAAACAGTCAAACCAGAATGATAATAAGAGACAACTTGTGTTCAGCAACAGCAGTTTAATGGTGAGAAGTTTGTGTGAATAAAAAAGAGTTTGTGCAGAGTCCAGGTCTCTCCTCACTGTCCTTCAGCTCCTGCAGTTCTCCTGGTGCTCAGAAGATGGCGCCTCTTCCTGCAGTTCCCTTGGTGCTCAGCAGATGGCGCCTCTTCCTGCAGTTCCCTTGGTGCTCAGCAGATGGAGCCGGTCTCCTCCTGCAGACTGAAGTCCATCTCGTCCATCTCTCGCTCACAGTCCTCACAGCCTTCAGAGCCACAGCCCTCCAGCATCACCACCCCGTGAGGGTCCCCCAGCCGGCCCCTAGGCGCTCCCAGTGTCTCTGCACCCAGACCCAGACCTGAGCCCAGACTTGAGCCTACACTTGAGCCCAGACCAGCCCCTAGAGCAGCAGCCACACTGGCCCCCACGGCCCCCATCTGGCCGGCCCCCATTCCCACCCCCAGGCCCCCTCCTCCTACCAGCAGAGCGCCCCCTGCTCCACAGGCCAGGGGCCCCACAGTGGGGCTCATTCCCTGGGCCCAATGGGGGTCCATCATGAGGCCCTGCTGGGCCAGCTGAATGAGCTGACTGATGGAGAAGAGGCCTCCTCCTCGGATCACCTCCTCGTAGGACGGAGCGCAGGCCGCGGTGCGCGCCTCCTCCAGCCGCACACGAGCGCGGTGCTTCATCTCGATGAGGGTCTTTGTGTAAGAGTTCAGAGTCGCTACAGCAGCGGCCATGCAGCAGCTGAACGACAGCCACGCCATTCTGCAGACACAGGTACAACAACAGGAGTGAGGCGGACACAGGTACAACAACAGGAGTGAGGCGGACACAGGTACAACAACAGGAGTGAGGCAGACACAGGTACAACAACAGGAGTGAGGCGGACACAGGTACAACAACAGGAGTGAGGC